TGGGGGGGGGGGGGGGGGGAAGCGGGGATGGGGAAATTTCGAGCCGCAGGAATTTTTTTTCGTTATCAAATTCCTTGCATGAATTTTTTTAGGCCATAGCATGAATATTTTTTAAGGTTAACTGGCGTGCATCAATTTTTTTCATTTAATTTTCCCTTGCAAATATTTTTTTCGTACTTCCCCCCTCCCCCCCACCCCCAATAAGTTTTTTAATGGTCCGTCCCTTACATAGCGGCCACTGTATCCGCCAGCATGGCCAAATCTAAGACTTCTATCAAAAAATATAACGAAGTGCAGCTGTGACAGCTGTGGTTATGTCCTTCCGAAACGACTTAGTTGCAATTTGTGCCAGCCGTCACTTCTGGTGGCACCAACTTCGGAAAATTCATTTCCCCCATACCTAATGACCATGCCTCGTGCCTTAATAGTGCAGTGTAGACTCAAGCGGAGTGCGTCTTCGTCTGAAATGTCAGGGTGGACGTATGACATTTCAGACCAAATAGAGTGTGACCTGAAAACAGAATATTCCGTCTCCTTTCGACAGATAAAGCTTCATTGTTTCAAGACCATATAAGAATTATATTTTCTGCTTGGATGCCGAGCCCATAACGCGGATAAACTTTTTGCTTTCATAGCCAGCACTTCCTTGCAGCATCAGACCTCTGCTGGCCAAACTTTTTCCTTTGAAAAAGAAATCCAGAGTTAAATGTACGAGCCGACCTTTTTACGAGCCAGAATTTTATAATACAGACTTCTTGTTCTAGAAATATCTAGAAAATTCTAGTCGGCTCTAGTTTGTTCTCGAAATGTCACGCAAGCTCAGAAAGTGCTTAGTGAGCATGATCAAGACTATTGCGTCATCTGCCGATTTGGAAACTGGCAAACTGGCGGCAACGAAAAATAAGTTTTAGCCAATCACATGCCAAGTAATTGTTCCACCATCCAATCAGATTGCGCGACGTTCGTATTTTTCTAGAATGTTCTAGAAAGTTCCATGGATTGAAAGATATAAAGCGACGCAACCAGCACGTGGTTACATTGCCAAATTTTTCACATCAGCCAAGCGGCAGTGAAGTTTTGCGACTTTCCCCTCGCTGGAAAAAGCGTAAATTTCAACCTTTTTCGCCAAAATGCCTGACATCGAAGAAGTTCAAAACATGGAAGAGGAGTCTGAAACGGAAACCTTCGCTTTTCAGGCAGAGATCGCCCAGTTGATGAGTTTGATCATCAATACATTTTACTCCAACAAGGAAATTTTCCTGCGAGAAATTATCTCCAACTCTTCGGATGTAAGTTGTACTTGCTTAATTTGCCGTGAATATTTCCTTTTTTTATACACACATTCTGTATTTTTTGTTTTGCCAAGCGCGTGTAGTGAGGTTGTTTGAAAAACTCGTCTCTTCTGTGGCGTAGGTTCCCAGCTTGACAAACTTCGGCTCTCGTTTGTTTTGGAAACGTAGGTTTAATCTCAGAGTTAAAATACTGCAAGTTCACGGGATTTCTTCTTTCGTGAAAGCTATAAATTATCAAAGAAAAGTTTTGAGGTCCACGCCTTGAATGAAGTACATGTGCAGACTGATTTGAATGTTCGGCGGAAGTGATCAGATACTCTATGCAGCCTATTTTTTGATCTTTCCAGAAGTAAAAATAATTAAGTAAATGCCATTCCTTCATATCTGAGCGACTGAGAGTGCAACAAAATCGATAACCATTAAATTCTTCCCCGTTTGTACCACAATAGTGAAAGTGAAAGACCTTTAAAGGGTTACGCGAGCACATGGCGTCGGCCAGAGTCACGTGGTCGGTAAATTAGTTTCAGAAGATTTCTAGATTTTTCTGGTGTACTCTCAGATTGCTTACGTGGAATCAATGTACATCAAGGAAATGGTTTATCTGATTTTGTATTGTATGCATTTTTAGGCTCTTGACAAAATTCGTTATGAGAGTTTGACTGACCCAACTAAGCTTGACAGCTGTAAGGATCTGAAAATTGAACTGATTCCTAACAAAGATGATAACACCCTGACCATCGTGGACACTGGAATTGGTATGACCAAGGCTGACCTTGTTAACAACTTGGGTACTATTGCTAAGAGTGGAACAAAGGCATTTATGGAGGCACTTCAGGTATAATGAGAAAGAAACTACTCTTCTGTACTGTACAATATAAAGTAACATGCCCCAAATGTGAAAGGAGTGTGATTTAAAAAAAAAGGAGGGTATCTCTTTTCAGGTTACCATCTGCTAGCAGTAAGAATTTAATTGTTGCTGGTTTAGTCTTCATCAGCTTCATGAGTAGTGTAATTTGCTGATGAGAAAAAAATAATGTTATGTAGGCTTAAATGAAAACTGCCATAAAAATTGATAATAACTGTTAAACTGTTTTTAAAACTAACGAAGACCAATAAATTGCCCCAAAAATTTACAAGCAAAAGGAAATATGAAAACTTGAAAAAACATTTTTTCAAATGCATTGATTATAAAGGGAGAAGAAACAGTGGCTGAGGTATCTGAAACCACGTGTCTGCAAATCCAGTACCAAAAGCAGCAGATCAGTGTCCAAAATGGTGCAAAATAAGACACAGAACGGTGGTCCTGTGGTTAGTGTTTTTTGAATCCATAGCATGAGTTCTTCTGGAAGGGCTTGAACTTTCAGAGGATTAGAAGTTGTCCTAATCATGCCATAGAAACCAGGTTAAGGTTTGCCCTGATGATCCTTTTACCTCAAATGCAGACTTTTGCCCTTAAATGAAATGGGGATTGAAGCGTTTTTTTTTTTCCTCAGGCTGGAGCTGACATATCCATGATTGGTCAGTTCGGTGTGGGTTTCTACTCAGCCTACCTGGTGGCGGACAAGGTTGAAGTTTACACCAAGCACAATGACGATGAGCAATACCTCTGGCAATCTGCTGCAGGAGGTTCCTTCACTGTTCGTAGGCTGGCTGAGGAAGTTCTTCCTCGTGGAACAAGAGTTGTTCTGCACCTCAAAGAAGACCAACAGGAGTATTTGGAAGAAAAACGGATTAAAGAGATTGTGAAGAAACACAGCCAGTTCATTGGCTATCCCATTTCCCTCATGGTAAGTATTTAACAGCGTAGAAGGATGCAATTTCACATTAGCAATTTACTTTGAGGGCCTTTCCAAACCAAAATTTGGACAATTTAATCTTGACCAGCATGAGAGTAAATTTAGAAAAGAATGCACTGATATGTTCAAGTTGAATCGCATACATTTATCTTGCATCTAAATTTTGGACTTTGGAATAAATTCACAGAAATTTGATTTTGCTTAGCTCTCTGTTCTTACTTTAGCTGAGGCATTTGATTTCTTCTTACCATTCATAACCTGAATTACTAAAAAATTACCCCAAGGGCAAATTAACCCTTCAGTTAGAGCGTCATTGGTTTCAAGTTCTCTTTCAACAAAACCTAATTAAGTTAATGTGTCGTGGTTATCTAGGTGCAAAAGGAGCGAGACAAGGAAGTTAGCGATGATGAGGACGAGGAAGAGGAGGACAAGAAGAAAGAGGAGGAGGAGGAGGAAGACAAGGAAAAGCCCAAAATTGAAGATGTTGATGAGGAGGAAGAGGAGAAAAAAGAAGAGAAAAAGAAGAAGAAAATCAAGGAAAAATACACTGAAATGGAGGAGCTGAATAAGACCAAGCCACTTTGGATGCGAAACACAGATGAGATCACATCTGAGGAGTATGCAGAATTCTACAAGAGCTTGACTAATGACTGGGAAGAGCATTTGGCTGTCAAGCACTTTTCGGTTGAAGGACAGTTGGAGTTCCGTGCTCTTCTTTTCCTTCCCCGCCGGGCACCGTTTGATCTGTTTGAGAAGAAGAAGCGCAACAACATCAAGCTGTATGTGCGGCGTGTCTTCATTATGGATAATTGTGAAGATCTCATTCCAGAGTACCTGAACTTTGTTAAGGGTGTGGTGGATTCTGAAGATCTGCCGTTGAACATTTCTCGTGAGATGCTGCAGCAGAACAAGATCTTAAAGGTGATCAGGAAAAATATCGTCAAGAAGTGTTTGGAACTGTTCAATGAAGTGACGGAGGACAAAGACAATTACAAGAAATTTTACGAACAGTTTGGCAAGAACATCAAGCTGGGAATTCATGAGGATTCTGTGAACCGCACAAAACTGGCCGATCTCCTGAGATATCACTCCTCAGCTTCAGGTGATGAAATGACGTCGCTGAAGGATTATGTCACGCGCATGAAGGAAAACCAGAAAGACATCTACTACATCACCGGTGAAACCAAAGATCAGGTGTCACACTCAGCTTTTGTGGAACGAGTCAAGAGCCGTGGTTTTGAGGTGCTGTACATGACCGAGCCTATTGATGAGTATGCTGTGCAACAGCTGAAGGAGTATGACGGTAAGAAACTTGTCAGTGTAACAAAGGAAGGGCTTGAACTCCCAGAGGATGATGAAGAGAAGAAGAAATGGGAAGAAAAGAAAGCCAAGTTTGAACCTCTCTGCAAGGTATTTTTGCTAATTAATTTGTTTTGTTGCATGTATGTTTCCTTAAAGCATTTCTGCTTTGTTATGTGATTTCATGCTTCATGGCTGAAGATGTAAACGAATTGGAGAAAGAAACTTACACCATCTTTAGCCATAAATAATATTAATGCTCACCTCAGGTGTGAACTAGTGGTACAGGAAAAGGAAATAACAGTAGACTGACGTGAAAATAAATTGCAATACTATATTATGAAATGGCCTGTATGACGTTACAGTGTAATAAAAATTTTTGTGATGTCTTAATTTTTTGGAAAGGACATTGATTTTCATGAATCATTTTGTCCCTTGATTTTTGTTCTTCCAGACGTCAGATAGGGCACTTTTTTAAAAATTAATGCAGAGTAGGTGAACTGCATTTACTGAGAAAAAACTGGTTGCTTTGTGTCTGATTTAGAACCTGGTAATAAAACTTAACTGCTGATAATAGATGTTATCATCAGGTTTCTGCCCAAAATATCACAGTCTGATTAAAGTGACTTTTTTATAAGTATGGATGGCAAAAAGTGTAGAGTTTTGTGTGTGTTGCCATATTTGTGCTTAAAGGTTGTCATTTTTTTGCAGACAGTCAAGGAAATCTTGGACAAGAAGGTAGAGAAGGTAGTGGTGTCTGCTCGTTTGGTGTCATCTCCCTGCTGCATTGTAACCAGTCAGTTTGGATGGACCGCGAACATGGAAAGGATCATGAAGGCTCAGGCCCTTCGTGACAACAGCACCTTGGGGTACATGGCAGCAAAGAAACATCTTGAAGTGAATCCTGATCACTCAATCATTGAGACCCTGAGGCAGAAGGTTGAAGCTGACAAGAATGACAAGTCTGTGAAGGATCTTGTTATGTTGTTGTACGAAACATCTCTTTTGTCTTCTGGTTTCACTCTTGATGACCCACAAGTTCATGCTGGCCGTATCTACCGAATGATCAGCCTGGGGCTTGGCATTGATGATGATATGGAAAGTAAGTTGATTTGTTTTGCTACTCCCTTACTTTCGACTGGCAGCTCAAACCTGTTTGTACGTTCAGAGCTGTGTGCCAAAGGAATACTGACTTCTTTGTGCAAATGCAGTCTTATATTTTTAAACTCTTGTTTGTATTCCAATATTTACCAAAAGAATTAACTTTGGGGAGCATCTTTTCAAGGAATGGTAATTGGTAAAATCCAAACTCTCTGAGTTGTTGAGAACAGTTGGCTGTAAAATATAAGACTTAAGCTAAAGTGCAATACACTGAGATGCCAAGACACTTCACAGAAATTAATGTTGATTGCATGAAAGTTTCCCAGTCCCAGTTTTCTTAGTACTATTTGCTTACCCCTCTGAGAATAAAACTGGTAAATTGTATAACCCCTTCAATCCTCTTAGAAACTTAAGAAAAAAAATTCTTTTTTTTAAATCCCAAGAAACAAAATTGGTAGCATGCAAAGTTCTGCCAAAAAGGTTTCATGTGAATGGTAACGTCATATATAGGTTTTCGTGTAGAGATACAAAAGTAAGAATGACAAATCACCCCACCATAGCTTGGTCTTTGAGAGATAGACAAAATGGTAAAAATCTTTTTGTTCATCAGGTGGTGAGGCAGCTGCAGCTGAGGGATCTACTGAGGACATGCCCCCACTGGAAGGTGAAGAGGGCGATGATGCATCCAAGATGGAAGAAGTTGATTAGATATTCTGCAGTGTGTTGTTCCTGCCCATGCATTTAAGTTCATATTCATATAACCTTGGAGTGGTTTTTCGCCCAGATTTATCAGTTTGCCAGCAGACGAAGGTCTCATTTGCAGCAAGACTTAGTGCCTTGAAACAAAATGTTATTGCTAGAGATAAAAAGAAGACTTGTCAACTGATTCTTAGCATTTTGATTCTTAACTCAGGGGGGTAGGTTTAGGAGTTTGAGATTCTTTAGATTGAGTGTTGACCAACTTTAGGGAATGTGGTTAAATAACCTTAACTTTCTGTTGTTAGGCCTAGTAATCTAACCCTTTGCTGTTTCGATGAGTATCTGCAAGTTTAAGTTTACATGATAGAAGCTGAATAAAAGGTGTTCAAAAGAGAGGAGAGTGGATTTATCGACTGTTTCCGTCCCTCCCTGCGCTCTTCTGCACCCGCTCTCTCTTTTTTTTTTTTGAAACTAGTGAGCAGCACTCCACAAACTCACAACTGAAGCTGCAAAACTTGTGCTTTGTCTAGCTAACGTAAGACTTCCTCAGGGAGTTAAACAATCAAACACGGCCTGTAGTTAAGCTTACCTTCATTGCTCAAGTATTTTTACGACTTAAAAATTCGAGAATAGAATCTTTTCGTACATTGGGCGAGCAAGGAAAGAATTAACTCTGACGGTCAACGGTCGAATGGAAGTTGAATTAATTGTGTCCGAATTATATGTGATATGTGGCTGTTACAGTTATTTCGAATATCGTGCTGTTCTATATTGAGGTCTTTCAGAGATATAACTTACAGAGCAATATAGAGAGGTTAAGTTAAACAAATGCTGCTTTTTTAAAAAAATACACATTGTTCCTTTGAAGTCTGAAGGGCTCAGTTGTTTAAAGGCCGTTTAGCGCTAACCCGGGGTTAAATTTTAATCCGAGTTTCATTTTCTTCTGTTCAAAAGCACTTTCTCTGATAATTTTCGCTATTCTTTTTAGCGCATCCAATCGTCAAATTGTAGACAAGAAGAATTAAACTGAATTTGCTTATTAAGCTTTCATATCTGAATTCCTATTTCGCACTAACGCTGGGTTATGTTAATTAACCTAGCTTTAAACAACCCGGCCCTGGAAAAAAAAAAATCTTCTCTCTTATTTTGTAACATGATGTTGAGCGGAAGAAAAATTGATAACCGTAAAGGCAAACGCTCTAGAGGAAGACAGAAGCTCATGCACATAACAGATTAGGTTCGATATCCACCACTTTCACCGCGGTCTTGTTCATCCCCGAGAAGAGACGGGGGAGGAACGCGGGTTCATTTTCCGAGCAGCGGTTATCTACTAAGGCCCAGTTCAGACGTCGTGCTTCTGCCGTGCCCAACTAAATTCAGGAATTAAGTTCGACAAAAGCACGGCAGAAGCACGGCGTCTGAATCAAACTTTTGAATTAAGTTCGACAAGCGCTGCCGTGCTACACGGCTCTGGCACGGCAGCGATTCAAACGTCGTGCTTCTGCCGCGCTAAACAAAATTCATAAATTATATTAATGTATTTTGGCTAGATTGGGTTCCCACGGGGAGTTGGGAGAAGAATTGTTACGAGGCATCAGTAAATCCTGAATTTGGTTCGACTCTGGCACGACGTCTGAATCAAAGTTGTTCTCCTGCCGTGCTGCAGTCGAACCAAATTACAATTAAGTTCGGCACGGCAGAAGCACGACGTCTGAACTGGGCCTAATCGAGCTTAAAAGAAGACCAGTTGATGGTAGAAAGGCCTAAATCATTGAAACGACGTTTGTTTTTCTTTGTCGAACTATCCATTGCCATTAGCAATGATAAGATTAATTTAGGCTAACACTTTCCATTTACGGAATAAAAAACCTATGACGACGAAGAATATCTGGAACCCGGGATTGGGACCAAAAATACATGGGACGCGAGTATTATTAGGGACCGTACGATCTGACGAGCATAGCAACCAGAACGTCAAAAACAAACAAACAAACAAAGGTTTAGAAGGCAAAACAACTTTGCACGTGCATCACACTTTTTTGTACATTTCTTTGCCATTTTTGCACGACTACGACGTGAAATCAGGTCAAGACCATGCGTTCTTGTGTTAGGAAGCCTGTGCTTCTTGCGAGTTCCTCTGGTTAACAGAGCCAGGAAAGCCGTAAGCAGCCGGTGTCCAAGTTTCATATTCGCGTCATATTCGAGTGGTACCTATATCTACCAGTGTGTGTCTAACTTAGACACACACTGGTAGATATAGGTAAGGCCTTTGTTTTAAATAATCCGCTCTATAATCTGAAGATTTCTGATTATTTTTGAAAAAATTTGATGTTTAACTTGGACAAGGGTCGTTTTCCATACTGAAAATAACTGTAAAAAGCCTGATTTTCAGTGTTTAAAGTCTGCACCCAATTCTCATTTATTTTACTTGAAATTTAGAGGGAATGATAGATTAATCCTTTAACTTAAAGAATCCGCTCTATAATGTTAAAGAATTCATCTTTTTAAGTACCAAAATGACGATTTTAGTCACTCTGCTGCGCCAAAATCGCCCGTTTCCCCTATTATTATGCCGCTTTCTTGGCACATTCATGCCTGATTAGCCCACCTCAATGGCTCATTGATATGCGTAAATGTCCGACCATTTCTCTCGATGGATCAGGGAGTGCTAGCAGGCCAATGGCCACAACTAAGGACTGAACGTTTCTCACATTTTGTTAGTGTTGAATATTAATCTTGTCAATCAATGTAGCGTATTAGTATAATATGAGGGGATATGTAACAATGTAACATATTAGTATGAGCGGATAATAACATATTAATATGAGCGGATGTAACAATTTTGTGGTCCCCCGATGTAGACTATCAATGGGACAAAGGGCATTTTATTTTCGGGGTCCAAAGGAATGGAATGGGCTACCTGACATTAGGAACACTAAAGATATTGATAGTTTTAAGCGGAGACTTTTTAATAGGATATTTCATACGAACTAATTTTCAATATATTTTGAATAATTTTGAATGTATTTTGAATTTAATTGAACTACTGTAAATAAGTTTTCTTTTCTTTTCTTAATTACCAGTATTATGTAGTAATTAACGTTGTGACTGAAAAGCCCTGTTGAAGGAGTCTCAATAAAACATGTATGTAATATATCACGGCTTGTGAGGTATCCTACAATTCAGTCTTCCGACGGCAAAAGGGACAATAAACCGGTGATCATGATTTAAACCAGGGATTTGTCTGAATGGCGGACCCGCCGAGAATATCCTGTAGTTTGAGGGGCTGTGTCACGGCTGTCAAGTTCATTTCCTTAAATTATGCCAATTTCGCGTCTTTATTCACTACGGGAACTTGAGAAATTACTTCTGAATGACAAAACCAAAGCATGTCTCCCAAGCATTATATCAAACGTTATAAACAACAAAAAGTGAACTTTGAAAACTGTTAGGCTGTCAGTTTTTCAAAAACGGCGCGTAATTGTAATCCGTTTCAGGGCTGGCATCTTCGACCTCATCAACTTCAAGATCCCTCTGAATCTGGTGTTCTCGTAAAGTATGAGATTAACTCTACCAGTAGCCTGCGAAGCAGGCGCACTTGTGCAGCGGCGAAGCCGCCATCCAAACTTTTTCGCCAAAATTTTTCCCGAATTCGCACAGGTGAGCCTACTGGCAAGCTACTTTACCAGGGGCCGATGCATTTACTTGTTCCAATGGAAGTCAACGAAGGGAACGTCAGCTATGCAGATGACATTGTCATTTTAAGCACACTGTTTGAATTGGAGAGCGTGCTGAGGATATAATTTGCCTTGTTTAGTTCATGCACTATAGGTTTAGGCTAACAAAATGAACAACCTTAAACGAATAATGTGTTTTAAAATGTTCCTTTAGTTTACAGAAAATAACAATGAGCTCCCTTAAACGAGTCCATTGAGAATGTTACTAGCTTTACTCATGATGACTTGAAAAACTTCTATCACATGATGAAGGCCTTGCAGCATTTCACATCCAGTGCAGCGCTTCAGCTCATTGAAAAACTCAACCTCGTCCCCACTAGTACGTACCGTAAATGATCGATTAAGCGCCGCACCTCTAACGAAAATAATTTAATAAGCGTCGCACTTGAATAAGCACCGCGGCGCTAATTTGGGTTTTTGCATAGAGGAGCCCAACCTTTGTTACGGCTCTTGGTATACCGTAGAGTTCCGATAGTAGCGACCCTCGTTACTTTCGGAATTAGCAGCCTTTGGGGGTCGCTACTTTCGGGAGGGTTGTCCAATACACCCGCACCGTTTTCAGCCTCGTTCCAGACCTTTTGTTTGACTGCTCGCGCTTACTTGAATACGCAAAAATACGAACTGTTTTGCAGTCTAAATCGACGAAAACCATATAGAGTTTTCAATTTGAATTTGAAGAAACGTTCCTGTTGTTAATACGAAATTATGCCGGTTTACGGTGGTTCTTACATCGCTACATCCAGTGAACTGATCTCAAGGACGAATGGGGGCATAAAGCTTCCCCTTGTTGTAAATTAAAGTGCCTTATCGTGAACAATTTGTAACACTACACGAACATATTATTGTACATTAAAATTTTGACTATTGATTGACAAATTAAAGGTATACGGTATACAATTTAAAAAACTTGGTCTCGCTACTTTCTGGGGGGGGGGGGGGCTACTTTCGGGGGGGTAGCTACTTTCGGGATTTACTAGCGGCCACAAAAAATTGACGTTAATTTCGGGCGGTCGTTACTGTCGGAACTTTACGGGAAAGAGATATGAAAACCATATTGCTTGACAAATAAGACCACGACCAACTCGTGAGTTTCTCTCGTTGTAATGTGGGGAAACTCTTGAAACCGGGTTCATATAACGGTTCGAGGTGCACATATTTGTCCATTGCACAACTTAGAGTTCTCTCTAGATTTCCCTTAGTGTTTTCCCCGTTGTTGAAGCCTCGAATAAGCGCCGCACCTTTAACATGGAAAATGAAATAGGCGCCGCGGCG